TACAACAAAGAATAGAAATTTGTTATGTATATACCTAATAGATATGTGCTACTAACTTTTCGTCGCAGTATGTTACATTTTATTACGATAATTATAAAAATTCTATCCCAAAATTACATACAAAAAGATATTCAGTGTCTTATGTTTGAATATTTAAAAAAAACTAATTATGACGATTTTCGTACAAATAAAATTTTATGCATTTTCCACCATGAATAAATTAAAGGTGGTATTTTATAGTAATTCTGAAAGTTAAGTTAATGTTTGAAGCGGTCACATGGAATTAATTTCGTAAAGGTTACAGTCACATAATTGTAAAGTTGTTAGAAAGTTAGCTTTTAATATGACAGATCTTCTTCCAAATTAAAAAGTTTACCTGTACGGAATGCGCAGTTGAATTTTCATTTGTTCAACTTTATTTCTTTCATTGGTTAAAAAAAGTTGATATTGTTGCTATGAAAGTTACCAAAAAATAGGCAAACAAAAGGAGATTCGCATGTTTCGTTTTTAGCTCAAATTGAGACGTAAAATGAGCTAAGAGTAAGTAGAGGATGTACTTATCTTTGTTACGAACGTTATTAGGACATTTACTGTTCATAATAGTTGGAATTGAGATAATTTACTTGCCATTAATTAGACCAAGAAAGGTAGAGATAGGAGTATAAACTACGACGCGAGTTACACAACGTCATCAATTTGTTCTCGATTACCCGCTGCGCTATAAGGTAGTGCGTATCTCATTTGCATGGGCAAGGAGGTGATACTTTACTTATGTTTCGTGTTTTCTGAGACAGTTGGGAGTAACTACCTGTCCCAAAGCGGGACTAGAGGGACGGGGCTCTTCAAACGTTTTCTTTTCAATTTCAAAAATTGACCCATTCAGTTCTGATTAAGTTTTTACTCCTATTTCTGGTCTTCTTGAATTAGACCAATATTGTGTCAAGCTGCAATACTGCCACGTCAAGAGCGGCTGTGGATAGCTGTTTTAATATCATCATCATCATCATAATCATATGCTCTTATTTGGATTTACCCGGTCTTCTTCTGTTTTTATAAGTATTTATAAAATTATTATTGTACAATTCTGTAAATGACCAATCAAAGAGGTTTTTAAGTAAATTGTAGACTACTCACTCAATAAAACTTATTTCCCAAACCCGTGGAATTATTTGTAACTTATACAATTTACAATGAAATGAAATTAAATATTGAGCGAAATAATTTTCTTTGAAGTCTAGGAAAAAGTTTAGAATGAATGAAATTCTTTCTTGGAAGAAGAAGCAGGAGTAGAGTAAAATATCATATTTAATATTAAACAACTGTTTTGATGTTCTGTTAATCATTTTTGAAAATTTAGTTTGTCTTTTATAAACTTTTTGGTAAAATCCACATGTTAACTTCAGACTGATGTTCTTTATTCAATATATATTTATTAGTTTACGTAAAGAAAATTAGTTGTGTTTGTAATATTCACTCTATTTCCTTGTAAATAGGTACTTAATTTATTATATATGAATTTTCATTAAGTAAAGATCGGATCTATTCAATATATAAATCATTATATAATTACTGTAATGTAATTTGTCCAGAATCTTTCCGACTGCGCCTTGTATGTAAGATGTTATGAGAAAGCTCGTCTTCTATGAAACAAGTGCAATAAACTAAAAAGCACTGTTGATAACAAACCCCCCCTCTGCAAATACGTTAAAAATAGAAAGTACAGGCATTCGCGTGTCGGAGATTGTTATGATTATACGTATTCGCATATTATACCTACGTTCGAGAATTTGAGCGTCGCGTCGCCGTCGTTTTCGTTCTGTTCTAGTGAATAGTGATTAATAATAACTATTTTAAAGAAAGGATAATTGTTTATTACTTTTTCGGTTCCGAGTACGTGAGTGCGCGTTTGGTGATAGAGACAATTTAATAGTGTAGTGTGATTAGAAATACTTACATTAATATTACATCGAAAGAGAATAATGGTAAGTGAGTTGTTGAATCATTAATAATAGTTTTAATAGTTTAAATACTTTCAAAGCGCAAAAGCGCAGGAAAGTAAAGGTTTTTAAACACCTAAGCTTTAGCATATGTACTTAGGTGTATATACATAGTATGTAGATGGTGTTTTTGATTTGAATTCTTAGTGTAATATAAATTGCATGATTTGCAAAAGCAGGAATGTACATAGATATGTACATACATGTAATTCTTGTTCTGTAAGGGATGAAAAATTGTTCCCGACCAAAATATCGAACGGTAAAATTTATTTTCTAGTAGCAAAGCTTTCGTTTCACGCTTTAAACTTAAATTGAATTTACATAGATCCTGGCATAAATAAATCATACCATAAATCAGGAGGCAGCTTTTAAAAATCAGACAAAAGGCTTGATATATTTTGATCGTAATGCAAATGCTTTTTTTATCAACACACCACAAAACTTATTTTTGTATATCTGCATATTTATATGTGTACAAAAAGCCAAAGATGGTTATTAATTATTATTGAATGTATTACTGTTTTTAAAATCCTTTAAAACAAATTATGGATAATAAAAATTTTAATTATTCACTGTATTCTAATTAAACTTTTGCTTTTCATAATATCTAAAATAAATTACGAATATCGCTTTGTCTTTCTAGTTCTTCTTTTGAGTGAAAATGTATAAACTATTATTAAAATTGAATTATATTTAAAATGATACAGTTTATAGGTATTTATGCAGGTAACAAACTTTCTGATTTTATTACTTAAAATGTAAAAATAGACGGTGCATAGAAAGGATTACGCCACTTTTATAAAAACTTGCCCATTGTGATTGGCTCACGGCGTTGTTGTTTGTACAAATTCATTTATCTCTTTGACTTTCCTCTGACATTGATGAAAAACAGGCTCTAGTATGTTCGATGTGAGAATACAGAATTTTATGTGGTAAACAATATTTAAAATGCCGATGTAAAATTACACATTTAGGTAATTCACATTTATTGCTTTTGTTATTTTTTATCCACGGAGCAGCGTTGAAATTAGAAACAATTATTTCTATGAAATATGCAAAATAAACAGTTTAAAATGTTTTAAACATTTGTTCTCATATACTTTAAACAAGTTTTTTATCGTAGCCTGTAATAATAGTAGTGTTTAAATTAATAATTAATAAAATAGTTGTTGTGAAGTCAACCCTCAATATAATATTATCCTTACAGATGTTAGCAAAAATAAAACAAATTAGGCTGATAATTAATTAGAACTCATACTGTCTATTGAACGTTATTATCATCAAGAAATACAACTTAGTTATTTTTTAAATCATATGATAACGTTTAGAATAAATTTTTGGTGATTTTTTCCAAAGGGGCGTTTTTTCCGGGGGCATTTTTCCAGGGTATTTTCTTCCGAGGGTTTTTTTTCGGGGCTTTTTTGATTTGATTATTGTATTTTAAACAATGTTTAAAACATTTTGCCTTAAAGATGCTAACGCAGTGTTGGGGTACATTCAAATTATCCATTTTTAACTGCGGGTATCTATATTTATGTCGAAGATTTTGTTAGAATTATTGTACTTTTCTTAAGGGGCACTTTTTATGAAAAACTAGAGTATTGTTATAAGGTAACTAATTACAAGAAACACACCTTTATTTAAAAATAATTCTGTTGGATTACAACGTATTACATCATAATTCTGTAACTGTATATATTATGGACTATATTCCACCTAACACAATTACTGTTCAAAGATAATGTCCATTGTAAGGGTAAACCACAAGTTCTAGCTTTTTTCTCCTTTTGTAATGTGTACAGTTTGACCATAACGAATAATTCTTCTGTTAACATGACATATGCAGGTCTACCTTAGCTTAAAACTTTTCTGTCATCGATGTCGATTTTAGCCACGACATATAAATCTTTTAGTCATGTTACATATTTTGACCACAACGGCCAATTCTTTCGGTTAAGACACTGAGCACCACAGCGGATAATTTCTCTATTCACAATGTGCTTTTTTATCTTCGCTTGAGTACAATCTACCTACAATAATAAAGATCTTTATTATGTCCTACGTTTAGACGACCAGTTCAAGTCTTTTACTCATAATGTAGAGTGTAGATTTGACTATAACGTATAATTCTTGGGCTTATATGATTTACATATCTAGTAGATTTAGTCTTCTGCCGATGTTATATTTGAATCTTCTGGCCTTATTGTATATTTTGGCCAAAATATCTAATTCTTTTGATCAAGACACTCGTATAATTCTCCCGTTCATGTTGCACCTACGTTTTTGTCACAATTTGCAATTAGATAAAATTCCGTATAATAATGAAGACCTCTACTAATATGACGTATATTGATAACTGTTGTCCACGTTATGTACTTTGAGCAGAACATAATAAATTATCTCTCTCACCTTACATTGTCGTTATATTTTTCTCGGTAATTTGTATGTATTTAGTTAAATGGTAGCTAGATAGAGGAATTTAAAGGTATAACATAGTGTTATGCAAGTTACAGTTTTGAAGATCGAATAAACAAGGATGTAATGTTTCATTTGATGAGTAATTCAGTGCTTGTACCAAACGGTGAAGAAGACAGCGAGGAAGTAGTTTAAGAAGTTTAGAACATAATTGGCGTACAGGAAAACCAAAAATGTAGCTATTTTTAAACGTACCTCGTCTTCAGTTAATATCGAATTAATTTTTTAAAAGATGGTTCCTTAAATTAGTTTTATTTTTAAGTGTAATAGGATTTGCTGGAGATATTCATGAAGAAATTGGATATAGATAGAGATTCGAAAGTTGATCTGCAAGATTACAAACAATCTGTTGAAAACAATCGGTTATTTTTGCAATGTTTAGGCCCTCGTTTACCTTCCCGTTTAGCTGTACAAGCTTTTTAACCACGTTTACTGAACATCGGGGAAGATTTTGATTTTAATCAGTTAAACTATTATCTAATATTACTATTACTGTACAATAATTACTAACCACTGAAATAAATTAAATACCTGAAAGGAATTTACTTAATTCTTATTTTCTAAGAATAGTACATACATAATACAGTATCAGTAGTAAAAATAGTTTATAATGAGTTACAGTGGGGTAAATCAGTCAAAAATCTCCCATATTATTACAGTTCAAAAATCAAAGAAACACATGAAACTGATTTATATGTACATAATATTGTCATAAGTGTTCTTATCTCTTAATAATTAAAATAAACTACTTGAATCTTATTCAATTATCAACAAAATGTGTACGGTTGGTATGCATTTAGACGTAACCCTAGGAGCGAATGAAGAATTACGATTTAGACAGAAATATTCGAAATTATTACGGAGATTAGCCAAAGAGTTGCCATTAGACAGACAAGAGTTGGACAGTCTAGTGATAATTTATTACAAACACATGAAAATTGCAGAGAAAAAGGCAATGACTAAAATCCAATTTCAGGAGCTACTTCATAGCGCGTTGGATTTAACGGATTCTCTTTCTGTTTTCCGAGTTACCGCCACTGCGTGCAAGTCAATCGGTCCTTACGTTAAACTCGAAGAATTTATCAGGGTAATGGCACTTTTTCTGAAAGGGACTTTTGAAGAAAAAATTAAATTTTGCTACAAGGTATAAAACCATAACTAAATTGAGATATTGGTAATGACTTTCGCGGTCGATTGGTGAACTCATGCTGTCTTGATTCGGATCTAAAGGTCGTCGTTGAATGAAGTTGTTTCCTAACGTTTCGCTAGCACGAGTGGTGTACTTCTTCAAAGGTCTTTCCATCTCCGATGCTAGATTTCGACTCTAGTGGATCCGAGCAAGGATAGCATCAGTTCATAACTAAATTATTCATTTGACGACAGTAATTTATTTGTAAAGAAGTCATTAGTTATATTAATGACGATACTTTTGTAGTGTTATGTTGTCACGACTGTAGACGCCACTATCCGTAGGGATGTTATGTTCCGAAATCTCAAAGGGACAGTCTTCACTAGAAATTTAGATGAAGATAGTGATGATATTATCCGAGTAAGATCTTTAAATTCGTCTGATGCGCTTCTACAAGGACAAAAACGTCCTGTTTTTGTTTAATTATTTTTCGGGCAGTTAAAACGTGAAAAATTAATTAAACGCGATTTTAGGACTTGGTGGACCTTATTCAAGCAAAAATGGAACTACATAGAGACGGTAAAATAACCCTTGAGGAATATAAAGAGAGTGTTCAGAGTAATTCTTTATTACTAGAGTTTCTAGGCCCTTGTGTACCGTCTCGCATGGCATCTCGAGCATTTTTATCAACATTTACTGATAAATTGGGCAAATTTTAGAGAAAAAAAACACATAATTACGTTTTCAATTAACACAAGGCGATGGTTTTATACCATTTTGTATATTTTTAGTTAATCTAATTGTATTTTTTAAGAATTTACAACATATTATTTAATTTAGTAACGATAATAATA